TTTTTTTTTTTTGTAGAGATGGAATTTTACTGTGTTGGCCAGGCCGGTCTCGAACTCATGACCTCGTCATCTGCCCTCCGTGGCCTCCCAAAGTGCGGGGTTACAGGCATGTGCCACCATGCCTGGCCAAGAATCTTTTTACATGTTGTGTACCTGTAGCCTTAGTTACTCAGGAGGCTGAGGTGCGAGGATCATTTATGCCCAGGAGTTTGAGGCTGCAGTGGGTCATGACTGCACCACTGTACTCCAGCCTGGGTGACAGAGCCAGACCCCATCTCATAAGTAAGTAACACCAACCCCTCCACACCAAAGAAGCCCTCCTGCCATGTCTCCATCACTTCCCCCCTCCCAACTTCCAGTTCTGGGAAATCAAGACACGAAGGAGTCCACTCTGGGAAGTGCTAACATGTATTTATTTCACAAGGTGGGAGATGGGGTGAGGAGATGATCACCAATAAGATGTCACCAAATGAAACTCTCTGAATCCCACACAGGGCAAGGGGGAAGCTACAGGGTTCAGCTCTGGGCAGTGCTTGACCAGGGACAGCGCAGGGGAGAGAGATGGGACTGGGAGATGGGGCAGGCTTCTGCAGGGGCCTCCACAGGGCAGGGCTCAGCCTCATGCTTCCGGCCAGTGACATGGGCCAAACCCACACCCCTCGTCCTTCTCACCCTCCTCATCCCTATCGAGGCGAGCAATGAAGCAGCAAGCCCAGGGCCACACAGCTAGGTCAGCATGGTAACACGCTCCAAACAAACACACAGCCAGACACGCACGCACACTCCCTGCCACGCACAGCACACAGGCACACACACGCTCGTGCATGCACACGTGTTCATATATTAACTCTGATTTATATGTGCACCCTAACCAGAGGGCAATCGGAAAAAAATTATTACTCTTCAGAGAGGAAACGACTGCCTTCTCTGCCAGCCAGCAGAGCATGGGGTGAAATGAGGGGAGCCGAAAGCATCTTCGAGGTTCCCGGTAGCCTTCGCTGCAGCTCGTAAGTTCTGGATAATGGGTCCCTTCTGCTCCCCGGGGGCGGCCTCCGTCATCAGGGCTCCCGGTCCCTGACCCAGCTCCACCCTGCGGGGCCCTCGCGGCTGAGACCATGCTGCAGGCTTAGCCTGTTTCTGTCTCCGGCCTCTAGACAGAGGCAGGAGATCTGTCCCAAGCATGTTGATACGAGCCTAGTGCCCAGGTGACCAGGAGCGAAAGCATCAGCTCCATCCGAGTCATCTCAGGAGGGGCCAGAATAGTCCAGAACTGCAGTGCCAAAGCCACCCTGGTGGGAAGAGTTGGGGGCAGCGGCTGCCTTGGGGCGTGAACAGGCCGGTGTCATCTGGGCAGAAGCAACCTCGGAGGAACCAATGCCCAGGCCTCGCTGCCTCCTTTTAGGGCGGGGAGCTAGGACGTGGCTGAAGCTGCCGCTGCCTCCCACCGTGTCGACGGCTGGAGTTGAGCACCTGCTGCTGCAGGAGACAAGACGCAGGAGGGGACTCTGCTGGTCCCAGGTCCTGATTCGGGGATGGCAGATGTGGTGGAGAACTGGACAGCCTCACTCCTCAGTACCAGGTCCACATCAGAGGCTGCAGAAGACAGCTCTGGGCTTCCCAGGGAAGGGGTGGGGGCTTTTCCAGGGTGCGGGAACCCTGTGGGCAGCTGAATGCCTGAGAGGGACAGAGTATCCATCTGGGGTCCCTGTGCTGCCCTGGAGGGCCCGCTGAGCACCTGCCAGCCCCTTGCTGTCTCTCCGCCATGGCGGCTGGTCCTGGGGGCCAGGCTCCAGTGCTCCAGCTCTCTCTCTCTACTTGATGGAGTTCTTAATGGTCCACCTCTGACCCGTGCAGCTGCGAAGGATGAGGTCAATGCCAGCCAGGCCCCGGTTCTCCACCTCCAGGCAGCGCCCCGTGCCCTTGTTCATGATGGCTCCATTCTGGAAGGGGGCAAAATCAAGAACGGAGGAGAAAGAGAGAGAGGAAAAAGAGGAGAGAAAATGAGAAAAAGAGAAGGAGACAAAGAGAAGACAGAGGGGAGACGAGATACAGGAAAGAGAAGGAAAAAGCAAGAGACAAAGAGAAGACAAAGGGAACAGGGACAGAAAAAGAGGGAAGAGAAGAGAGGGAAAGAGAAAAAAGCGAGGAGAGGGAGAAGAGAGAGAGACAGAGAGAGAGAGAGAGCAACAGAAGGGGAGACAGAGAAAGGCGTGACCATCATGGTGCCTGGCACACAGCTTCCTGCAGAGAATCAGTTCCACCAAATTCTTTGCATGGGGCTGGGACAGGCAGTCACAGGACCTCCTCTGCGGACTCTGAAGTCAGAACCTAAGCAAGCTTCACCGGGATTGAGTGTCTGAATCAGGTGAGGAGCATTGGTCGGGGTGGGGTCGGGATGGGGAGTTTCTTGGGATGTTCTTGGTCTGACTTTCTCAGCACCCATGGCTGTGGGTCCTTAATGAATTTGAGGGAAGTCCCCCTCACTACTCTCTCAGGATTGGTCAGAGCTCAACTGAGGTGGCAATCAGAACTGATCAGAATTGATCAGAACCTAGCAGTGAGGTAGGAATCAGAACTGATCAGAATTAATCAGAGCCTAGCACTGAGGTAGGAACGAGAAATGATCAGAGCCTAGCACTGAGGTAGGAATCAGAAATGAGCAGAATTGATCAGAGCCTAGCACTGAGGTAGGAATCAAAACCGATCCAAACTGATCAGAGCCTACCACTGAGGTGGCAATCAGAAATGATCAGAATTGATCAGAGCCTAGCACTGAGGTATGAATCAGAAATGATCAGAATTGATCAGAGCCT